CAGGCAAATAGTGTATGAAAATGTTCATTTCCCCTAATCGCCATTATTACTAGATATTCATCATCTTAATTCCTGCAAGTCAAATTGACCCAAAAAATTTCACTTGGGCTGCTAACAGCAAGGTAAGCAGTTCAAGACCACCAGCTGTGCGGGGAAGAAAAATGTCCACTCCCATAACTACAGTCTGAAACCCACAGGGGGCAGTTCTGTCCTCTCTACAGGAAATCCACCGGACGGGAGTGAGTATCTTGCTGAAATGGGCACTTCCTCAACTACAAATGTTTCTTTGTTCTTTCTAGTCCTTTTTCACAAGCTACCTGTTTACACATTTACTCTTGAAATCTCAGTTTCAATCTTTTGAACAGAGTACAATCTCTGTCAGAGTTAGGCACTATTATTTTAGATGGCATTACACAAAAATATACATATCATTCCAACTCTTCTTAATTTAGAGATATGTAAACATTAATTTTCAATGAAATTCAACAAAATTTATGTACCATTTACTTTGTATGAGACACTTCATTAGGCACAGACATAAATAAGACAGTCTCTATGCTTAAGATAGAGAGACAAACAAACAATAGGTTTAAAACATTCAATGCAAACAGTGAGCTAGCCTTAAGGACAAGGCCAGTAACCCCTCCCTGCCCCTCAGAGTAACTAAAAGCAAAGACAAACATGAACAAAGACACTGGTGTAACCAAAGAGTAGAAAAGGAGAGTAAGAAATAGCCCCATAAAGATAGAGGATAGCCCTCACAGAAAGTTCATGTGTAAGTGTTAAGAATAGAATAGGGGGTTGTATGAGGTGGGACAAGGAAGTGGAGATGCCTGCCTACCTAACAAATCAGGTGTAACTCACATATGCAAAGTCATGAAATGTGGCAAGATAGGAGGAATAAACATGCCACATAATATTTAATATTCTCTCTATATATGTGTGTATATATTTATATATATATATACATAAATTTTCAGCATCAAACTTTGTCAGTGCAAATTTTCAAACAGAAAAACAAACTGAGAGGAATCCACAGTACTACAATTTTTTATAGATTTCATTGTAGATATCAGAATATTTTAGTTTTCTATTTTTAATTTGAAACATTAAAATAGAGGTTTTTAATTATTCAGTCAATATAAGGGGGAGTCTTTCTTTCTCAATTTATTGATAACACAGAGAAAATACCATGGGTTAAGATTACTAGTTTCATTGAGATAAAGTTATTTCTTAGTTTTCCTAATTAGCTTATCCTTTTTGTTGTCGTGTAAGAGAGACCACATCTTGAAAAGTAGGGCATTAAAATAATGCCAGGGCATAAAAATGGGACTGTCATCATATCAAAACTATGAAAAGCATAAGTATCTATTTAAAAAATCTTGAATACCAAAAACAAAGCACAGCATAAACAAACATCTCTTTTCTGAAGTTTTGAATGTGACTGGTTTCTAGACAAGGTTTGAATACTTCTAAGGACAATGGTCTTAATTGTAATCCCTCCCCCACTTTATACTTGTACCATGCAGGTGACCGACCCTGATGGCACATCAATTCCTGTCTATCACTAATAAAAAATGTCCCATAGAATTAAAACCAGTTGATATCTAAACATTCTAGAGATATCTATAACTTGCCAAATAAAAGATAGCAAAACATTGACTCACTTGATTATCACATCAATTTCATTCTAGTATGAATGTATGATATGTACTGATATTCCACTATAAGAGGTTTTTAAAAACTGTTCTCCTATCTCACACCTCCTTCTATAAAAATTATACTCCATAGCTTGGTAATAGCAGTTAAGTACTAAGTAGCCCCAAATTAGCAAGGTATAAAAATATTCAGATTTTATGATTCTCAAGTTATTCTAGAAATTCTGAAGCTTCATCAAAGAAGTCCATGTGCTATTATTGTTTCTTGTTCTCCTTGTCTTCATTGAGTTGGAGTGCTTTGATATATTTTAGTTTCTCTGTTGTTTTTCTTTTGTTTGCTTTTTAGCAGAAAGACATTTATAATGTTAAAGGAAAAAGCATTTAAAGAGAATTATGTTGAAGATTATTTGGAGCAGACACAAAAATGAGTGTCCAGAAAACCAGAGGACAGATTGTGCTTGACTTGGGGGAAACAGGTTTCATCCCTTGATAATGGATTCAAAAGTTAAGATTGTAGATGATTTTGGTAATTCTGGAAGAAGGAAGACAAAGTAGTTTAGACCTGATCCCCGCAATTTTCATTTTAAAGTGGAAGTTTATCTGCTCTGAATGAAGAGTATGGGGAGCTAGTAGAAGGCATGAGGGCAGGAAAGACAATTGGAGATACTTTCTAAATGGAAAATGAGAGGAAACTGATCAAGACCAAGTAACATTCCTACAGGGGTCAACAGGTCACTGAAGTTAAGAAA